TGGGGTTGCTTATTGTATTCAGCTTGCGGTTGCAATGGCTTTTCGTGCAAAAACTGATTTTATGTTGATTTAGCTTGTTTTCACAAAAATAATTTTCTTTACCCTTCACATAGTATACTGCTTTATATCACAACCCAGAACGGTTATAGTTTAAATTGATGGACATGAATGCATTTGCGGACAGTTTATTCCGAAAATGAGCTTCCGTAAGCTGCAGTGTGTTTTAATGGATATAAAATGTGCACTTACCTAACTTCATGGCGGCTTTGTTGTCATCACGCATTGAATGGCTGGACGATGCTTGAGATATGCCACTCGATTCAGTGCTGTGTACCATGAGATTATTTATTTCCGTTTGATTGGCACGTAGTCGGCGTCGTAACTTCGGCATGTCAAAGGGTAGATCACCCAAATCCACAGAAGTTGCACTACCAGAAGTGCAAGCATCCTGCACATATATTAGACAAATTAAACGAATTTTTAAATGAAAATAAATATCTATGTGTTACTCACCTGCTGTAATGTTTTTCTGCGTCTTAACTTTGGCATATCGAATGGAAGATCACGTAAATCTTGTGGTAGCCCAACACTATTGCTCATTCCCCCGACGGCGCTCATGCCACTGTCGTTGGTTTTATCGGAAGGTGGAAAATTTAATTTTGGCAACGTGAACTTTTGAAAACCAATGGCAGATTTTCCATCCTCACGTGAGTGCAAAGAGATGCCACTATCCGAACCAAGCATTTCATCAGTTAAGTGCAATAATGTTTTATTTGCTGGTGCTCTTCTCTTCTTGAGTGCATCAATTTGTAATTGTGGTATAGTGCGTGCCATATCCACATTTGCTGCTAATACATGTGATTGTTGTTGTTGTTGTAGTTGCTGTTGTTGTTGCTGCTGGACTGCATCTTCAGGCGTTGTGTTTTGTGTTTTATTCTGTTCTGATAGTTCTGATGCCGGCTCTTGTGATGATTTGTCTGAAATCGGACTTAGGATATGCAATTTGGAATGAATGACAACTGGCGCTCGTAATGGGAATGCGACGCTCGAGCTGCCAGATTCAGAGCTATGTGAACTCAACGATGTTGAGTGCCTTGACTCTGAGCTGGAAGTACTGCGATTGCCTTCGCTGGTGCTCGAACGCAACGATTCCATGCTGCCACCACTACTCGATGTGGCAATGCTTTCGGTCGAGGAGTAATTATGCTGCCTGCGACCGCCATTTCCTACATGGTGGTGGTGGGAAGCGTGGCTTTTACGTAACTCCAGCACTCGTCCAGACTCGAGCACAAATGAACGTGGCCTGTCACGAGTTCTGGAGTTGCTTGTCGATTGAAGATGTAAATGATGTGATGTGCTTGATGGTGGATTCACATAAGCGCTATCTGTAAGGCTGTTCTCATTACTGGTGCCGATTGAAGAGCCCAGAGCATGTTGTTGACGTAGTGTTGTTTGTATTGGAAGACGTAAATCGCGTAATCTGGGATGGGCTGGATTGGAAGATGGTAGATTTGGTGCACTCTTAATGCTATTCATAAAAAATCGATCATGCTTTCCCGGAAATTTTATAGGCAGCGGTGCTGTTGATGGTGGCGATGGTGTATAACCACGCATTGGCAGTTGCGATGAGGATGTGCATGTAGTGGTTGTATTGTTTTGTTGATCCACATTTTGCTCATGTATATGAGCATTGGCCAAATCATTAGAAAGTCCGGCGATATTGTTCTTATCAGCTGTACAAGAATTGTTAGTAGTTACACAGGTTACGGTTAGTGGTGAACCACTGCTGCTACCGTTGCCGGAATTAGTAGCTTGTTCTTGTAGAGCTTGGTTTTTTGAGTTTTTTAAACGTTTACCTTCTAGACGACTTTTACTGTGCGATGATTTTGTTGTGCGCATTTCTTTTGTTGGTAAATTATTGCCATTATTTAATTGTATGAGTACTGAGTGATTAGTTATACGATCGACTTCGTCTAAATCATCATCCGACTTAGCTATTTTGCAATCAAAAGCAGTTTCATAAATTTGACGAGTGCGACCTGACATCTCGTCGTCGTCTTCGTTTAAACAGTTATCGGATTGATTATCGAGAACACTGTGAGAGTTTGCTGTACTCAATTGTTTATTGTCCGGTGAGCAGTCTTCACATTCATGCACGCCTTGTGGATGTACATAAAAAATACTACGTGGTCGAAAATAATCATCTATATCATCGCCAATAGTGGGTGCAACGCATGCACATACTGCAGGTCCTAGCAGTCTATGTGGCGGCATGGACAATAAATCTTCCTCAAATGGCACACAATTAGAGTTTTCGTTATCGTGATTACAATCAATGGGAGCACCACTAGTGTTAACGGCGGTATTTAATGGTTGTACGTTACAAGTTTTACGTACTAATGCTAAGGCTTTAGCATGCCACTCACGACGCTTCTGACACTCACTGCAGTCCGATTCTTCTGATGTAGATGTTGAGGGAGACTCGCAGCGTATAATATGAACACCGTCTTCAGTGAAGGAATAACGTTTTGGAGTGTCGTTAGCAGCTAATATGGTACTGTTTGTTGGTTCGGTTTCTTCGAATTCGTCGTCTTCTTCGGCACGTTCTTCGCGTTCGGGTACGTCGAGACTGGTACTCTTACGATAAATACCAATATTAACAGGCGGTTGTGTTAATTGCGGTGGTTCAGAAACAGTAGATTGCCGACTTTTGTTTTTAGTTTCTTTGTCAGTGACACTAGACGCAGTTTCTTTCGACTTCAATAAATCGGAATAATAATATGGCGACGGATTACGTTTACTAGTTTCAGTAGGTGCAACAGCTAGTTTGCGTGGACTGCGGTGCGATTGTGGTGGCAATGGGCGTACTAGATCATCCGATATACTATCAGGTGAATTAAGTTCAGGAACTTTTATGGAATGGTTATCGTCTTCATCATCTGATGATTTTGGTGCAGATGAATCTGAAAGTAAAATCGATTTGAGAAAATAAGATAATTAGATTTTATTTTACATAAAATTTAAATTAAGTGGTTAAGCCTGAAGCTGAAGTGTGAAATTGATTTAAGAGGTTCATTTCACGCCAGAATGCTTAGCGGCGTATTGTGAAATAGAATAAGCGCAAAAAGGACTTGCGACAAATTAAAGTAATTACATTCCATCGCTCCTTGTAGTCCTTAACCGCGTTTGCTTTACTGCAGTATGCAAATAACAAAAAGCAAAAGTGTTGATTCGCCACTGAAGTTGTTTGCAAACTTTCTATTCGCTATTTTATTTATTAGTTGCTGCAATCTTGAAAAGTTTTAAGAATAAAGTAAATTCCATTCTGGACTTTAAAATTAGTTCTGTTCGTTACGAAGTGCTTTTGCTATCCTCAACAGATCACTCCATCACTCAACAGTCAGTCTAGCAAAAAATCGTCTTTATTACTTGAAATTGTTTATGAATGCAGAAGGGCATATGAACGATATAAAAAACTACACACGTGCGGCTAATTGCCCCCAAAAAGGGCTTGAGCTTGGATTTTTTTAACAACCCTGCTTTAATGAAACCCCCATTTACTTTTCTGCAAAGCAATTTGGCTTCGAGTGGCGATTAGTACCTCGCTATGGTGCCCACTTACCTGAACTATAATTGCTCCGCTTATCTTTTTGGAAACCCTTGGGTTTTACTGGCAATTGCAATTGTTGCTGTGGTGTTGGTGTTGGCGGTTCCTGCTGTTGTTGTTGTTGCTGTTGCTGTTGCTGCTGTTGTTGCTGCAGCTGTTGTAGCTGTAAAAGCTGATTTTTATGTGAAGCGCGTCTTTTACCTTTTTTATGATGGACTTTTTTATGACGTTTCGTATCTTTCGGATCCGAATAGCCTTCGATAATTTTTACCGATGCTTGCTTAATAGTATTCGGTAAGGGCGGATGTGGTAGACGATGTTGATTTCGTTGATTTTGCGATTTTAATTGTGTTGTTGAATGTTGCTGTTGCTGTTGCTGTTGTTGCTTATGGTGCTTATTTTGATGTTGTAAATGATGTTGTTGCAATGTTGTTGCATGCTTTTGTTGCTGATGAAATTGTGGTTGCTGTAAAGTGTGGTGTTGTTGTTGGATTGGAAGTGTATTGTTTGGTGGTAATATGTTAGCAACTGACACAATATTTAAAGTTGCATTCGCAGTTGGTAATGTAGATAAGGGAGCTGTTGCTGCTGCTGGAGGTGGTGGTGGTAGTGGACCTTGTTGGTGTTGTGGCAATTGTTGTTGCTGCTGCTGTTGTTGTTGCTGTTGTTGTTGTTGATGATGTTGATATTGGTTTTGCTGTTGTTGGGCTTCAGCAAAAGCAATCTGAAAAATTGAATTAAAATTAAAATGAAAATCTTTCATTGCTTCATGCTCTAATTAAATTTTTTTCTAACTCAATTATAACGAGGTAACCAAGCAATTATTTTTTGCTGTTGCCCTGAATTAAATTTAAATGTTTTCAGGCAATTTTTTATAAAAAAAAAATAAATACAATATTATGCTACTTTTCCAAAAGAAGAGAATTCATTTGTAAAACGAGACGCCAAATGAAAAAAAATTAAGGATTTCACACTTTGTGTACAGTTGAATGAAAATATTGCCGCTGGCAACGCTTTAATGTGTCGCTCCCGTTCTTTCGATTGCAGTGTAAACTTGCCAACTCGTAGCAAAAAGTTCGAATAAAATTTTGATTTCATCCTGGCTGTGCTGGTACCAAACAAATTTTGTAAATTATGCCTTCTTGAAGAGTCTCGATTCCTTTGCCAGTTCTCATTGCTATTAAATAGCACAAAATAATTTTTGTTAATATATGCGAGGAATGAGGGGAGAATATTAACAAAATGAAGTTAGGCAAGAACACTTTAACATTTACGGTAATTAAAATTATGCTTTGCATGTCACTTGCTTAATTAAGTAAAATGTTACGAACGGAAAATTGAGTATCGCCTGAAGATAAATTTTTAAAATATTCACATTTTTAGAAGAAATATTACTCGTTATGAATGTGTATGTAGCTTTATATTTCAGATACATGACGTTACCCAGTTGTAACCACCCAGTTGGCATTAATATTACAGAAAGAAATAATTTAGAAGGTGGGAAACTTATTAGGACAGGTGCGAAATGCGTTTAGAGTATATAAAATAAAGGAAATATTGAATGTCTTGTTAGATATGGGCTTTGTAGTATTAAAAGAGATCAATATTTTATGCCGAAGTTGATATGACACTGAGAGATGGAATAGGCTCTATAATGTACTATTAGGAAATCTGTCAGAAAGTTACAGTAGCTTAGTAATATTATCTGTTTAAACCTGAGTGGAATGATAATAACAAACTAAATTGCCAAATCATAAGTATTCTGGAAAATTGTGAAGACACGGTATTACATCTCTTCAGAACGTAAGACAATGAATTTTACGAATAAATGCCAGATTTCAAATCAAATATATTCATCACGTTAAAAATATTGCCAGATTAAGAAAAACAACGTGTAATCTGCCGGGGTTGGGTTGGGTTAAGAGGCGACGCAATTTTTTTCAATGATATGTTTATTATAAGTTTGTCAACTACGATTATAGTTTACTGTCTGTGAGTAGGGGGAAAAGTATATAATTATTATATTACATAAGCTCTCTAACGAATTTCTTCAAAAGAATTAAGAAAAGGAAAGGAAACTAAATTCCAGCTCAAGTGTCAGTGTGCATTGTTCACTAAGTCAAAAAGTGTGCTAGATATAAAGTGAACTGATCTCACGAACTTTAAAGCAGTGTAATACTATTGACTGTCTAATGGTATGAATATATTCCTTTTAAAAATTTTATCCAATCCTAGCAGAACTATAGGTTTCTTAATAAATGACCAGGAAAATAAATAGATTTATTCAGTCCTTTCAAAAAAATGCCACTATCTACACATCTGCCTACTTTTAGACCACTAGCAAAATATGGTGGTGATATAATCATTAACAAATAGTTAGGTGCTTTTTTAATGGGGGACCTCCAGGTGTCTAAAAGAAGACGTGACATTAACTTAACATTAACCAATCAAAATTAAGAATGCGACAGATGTAATCAATATGTTTTGAAGTAGAATTGAAAAGATTTGAAATGGAGCTGTGACCGTAGTCACCGCATGAAGATGTGTTACTCAACGTTTCACCAATACAGAGTTCAGCGTTATGCTGCACTCTATTGAAGTAACATATAATACGAAGATTTGTCTAAGGATTTCCGTCATACTGTGATGCTTTACAACAGTATAAAAATTTGTCTTTATCCATAAATTGCAGAACAGAATCTCGTAAAGTAGTTACAGAAATGTAGGAACCCTCTGCTATCTGGTTAAACTCGGTTATTGGTAATAACTTAATTTATTTTTTTTCTAACTCAAATAATACTCTAAATTAGTTACAGTAGGCTGTATCGATTAAAAAACCTGATAGAAATATAAAGCTACTTCATGACTATATATAAATATCAAGATGGGAAGTTAATGCTGTTGACGTGGAGACAATAAAGTTGTTGTCAAATTTCTTAATGATTAATTTGTCATTATTCCACATGTAAATCTATTTCACATATAATGAAATAAAACAATATATTTTGACATGTAATATGCTACTTTCCTCGTCAATCAATGAAGTAATGAATATGATAAGAAGTGCAGACAGTTTACATATCATATGTCCTTTCGTCTGCAATGTCAGTTTCAGTTTTACGTAAATACCTTTCTCTCTTGCTATTGTCAGAAAAGCGCAACACATATAAAGCCTTTTAATAAAAGCCTACTCGAACGTGCAACATTAATATAAGCAACACAATGGGAAGCATTCTTATTATCATCATTATTAACATCATTATGATAAAACTTCGTCAATAACAGCAGGAGAGCAACAAGAAAAAGAACACTAAAAACCATTCTTAGTAGCATCATCATCATCAGAATCAGCATCAGCGTCAGCATCATCACCATAGCCATCGTCATCGTCGTGCACTGTTAAGTCAAAAACTTAAACAAATGTGCTACCAAAGCAACCAAAAGTATGGAAGCAAAAAAACAATGATACCAATAACAAAACATAACAAGAAAGCGACTAAACAGTCGAGATAGACCAACCGACCGACTGTGTACCATGTTTTAATATTCAACCAACCGCAGCACGAGAGCTTCATAATTTATAGCATTTCTTTGGTTGGGGTTTTGAATACTTTGCACTACATTTATAAACACTCACCTCCCCACCGGGTGAAGCAAATATGGCGTCACCCACCGTTAGTGGGTTAGTGAGGGGGTGCATGTTGTGTATATGCACAAAAGCGAGAACAACTCCAATGGCAAACAACAACAGTAAACAGTAACAACATTTTTGCACCGCTGCCAACACAACTGAATTTTGTACTCGAAATGAGTTCCGCAAATGGTGACAATGACGAGTTAAAGCAAAATAAATACAACAGCTCACGTATGTGAAGTGCTGGAATAAAGCACATAAGGCACATAAGGCCCTCACACAAATACAGTTTAAGCAGAAATAAATAAAAATGACTGATGTACATTTTAAGCTTGAATTACTTAAAACGGGGCTTTGGTAAATGGCAACAAATGCAACGACAACATATGTGCTCTCACCTTGGCGTGCCCTACCCCGCGTATCAGGGACTGTGATATTATTTAAGCATTGTTTTATTTTGCTCATTTTTTCTAATTATCCACTAAAAGAGTAATTTTTTCTTTTTTTTTTTTTTGTTTTGATTTACTACATTGAAATTGTTTTATAAAGTATTTTTTAATGATATGAAATTATGCACTAAAATATAAATTCATATTGTTGAGATATGCTCAACAAAAACATTTAAAGTATTATTAATACTGCTTGAGCGGAATTAAAAAAAATTTCAAATATTTTTAGAAATATATTAAAAACTTATACTGCATTTTTATATGAAGCGTATTTTTTGTTAGAGAATAATGCTTTTAATTCATCTTCTTCAAATTTTCTGGGATGACCAAAACGTTCTTTATCACTGATATCAAAATCTCCACTTTTGAATCGTTTAAACCACTTAACGCATAAAACATATATGGATTATGCTTTCAGGATTATTATAATTCAATTTTAATAAAAAAATGACATCATTTTAAGATGTAATTATCAAAACTAAACTATACATCCAATAGATATATTCTAATGCCAAGAGTTTTATTTACATATGTATTAATTCGATAAGTTATCATACTGAATTTTTTTGACAGTCTCCATTTAATGTTCGAAACGTTGGTTCCTAATCAAAGAAGAAAAACTTTTAAAAGATATGGGATTTATATTCTATATTTCATAAAAAAGTATTAAAAATAAATAAATAACATATCAACATTCTGACAAAATCACCACCACGTCAGATTCAAATGGCTTGCAAAACAAAACTGAATTGATAGTTCGAAAAAAACATCTGAGTCTGTTCAGATGAAAGATAAAAAGTTTAAATTGTATATATATTTTGTGTCTTTTACTGGGCAAAAGGTCTCGCTTTTCAAAACTTTTCACCCAAACTGTATAATGTTTCTTATAATATGTCATAAGTTCAGGATATATCTCTTTGATGAGTCTTTTTTTTAATGATACAATACTTTAGTCAAACCAATCGGGACAAACGACGTCCAACTACGAGGCTATTCTGTCAATACAGCCAACAAAATTCAAAATCATTCGCTTCAATAAGTGGTATCCCTGTTATATAAAAGAAATAAGAAAATCCACGTGGACTTTAGAATTCCCTTTTTCAAAGACGAGTTAAACAATACCAAGTGTAATCACATAAATATACTGGAAGAGCATCCCAAAAATAACTTCGCACACGCTTCCAATACTCTAATAATAAGTTGTTCCAACTTATTATAGAAAATTCGAAGAAATTGATATTAATAAATCATATAACGTGAAATGGTGACATAAAAACAGTTTTATTATGTATTATAGTATTGTAAAGTCTCTAAATATAATTTATATACAAATGTCTTTAATAATTACTGTTAAGTGAGTGAGAAGTCTTGTAATTGATCAAGTTCTTCAAGAAAGGGGGCTCCTAAAGTGTTAAGTCGCTGCTGTGCAAGAGCTGAGTAAGGACAGAGTAGATGAGATGCGCTTTCATCGTCTTCCTGACAGTTGCGTCAGGTATGATTAAAAGGGAGATTCAATCATTCAGCATGGATCCCTAGTCTACAGTGATCTCTAAGTAAACCTACCAAAAGACTATTATCTCTACAGGGCATCTCAATGCAAATATTGGATTTCCTTCTAGTGGAAAGTGGCCAGATTGTATA